AACATTAAAAAAAAGAATCAGGCAATGATTTAAGGAAACGGATGGAAATCCTCCCAATATTGAAAATGTTAAACATATTTTCAGTAGATTTTTGTTTCTTATGGAGGACCAGCTCTGCCCTATTTAAAAATAAATACAGAAATAAATAAATAAGCATACAATTAATTGCCACCAAATTAGGTCTCAAATTAGCTTCTTTATTTATTTGCCTTTGTAATATTTACCTTATTTATTTTTTTGTCCTTTATAATTTTCAACTTTATTCTTTAATTTTATTTTTAAGTATTTATTTATGTGCATGTTATATTTTTGTCTGTTTTATTCTTCCTTTGTATTTTTTTACCCTAGTTATTTCTTCGCCGCTATTTACTTCTGCCTGCCCTTTTTATTGAGCATTTATTTATTTCTGTATTTATTTTTAAATATGGCAGAGTTGGTCCTCCATAGTTTCTTGCCTTTAATAAAGCCTTTGTTCTTCATTTTTCAATAAAAGTTATTCAGAACTTTATCCTTAAAAGTAGTATGCATCTAGAATAGATAATTGCAGGTAAAATAAAAATGAAAACAAACAAAAATAAACTGTATTTTGCATTTTATTGTTTAATGTTGTGTTTGTGGCCCTACAGGACAATTAATTCATAGGTGTCCAATAGGTTGGAAACCTCTGATGCAAGGCCACGTTTCTGATTAACTTATTTAAATGTAAATCCCTTTATTGTCCCACCATGGGGGAATTTCTTCTCTGCATTTTGACCCATCTCCTTGGGGAGCAGTAGGCTGCCATTGTGGGGTACCCAGGGAGCAATCAGGGGTTAAAGGCCTTGCTTAGGGAACCCAGAGTGGAGGCTGTGGGGATCGAACAGTGTTCTTGCAACCTTCTCAGAGCTCAAGCGCAGTCAGTAGGTTGTTTATATCGTTATGGGCTCGACTTATTTTAAACGTCTGACTCAGAGGGTAAATAATAAGTAATGTTGTGTTCTAGTACCGGCCGCTCTCAGTTTTAGGTCTCATTCTGACGGATTTCTTTCCATCCCTCTTCTCATCCTTCCTGTCCCTGATGAGAGAAAAGCCTCTGCTGTGTTTCCAACCAACAGTTTTACAAGCAGACCACAGAGTTAGATTTTGCTCTAATTTGATCGCTTGCGGCGATCTGCAAAGACGGACGGCTTATGACATTCTTCTTCCTTCCCTGGAGCTGAGATTTATGGGGAGAGCATAACGGTCCGCCGTGTTCCCTGGTCCTCACGATGCTGTTTGTTCCCTAATGTTTTCTAACAAACCTCTGAGGCCAGAAACAGAACAACTGGATTTAGACAGAGATTAATTACAAGCAGATGGACTCCATTTAGATCAGTGTTTTCCAACCTTGGTCCTCCAGGCACACAGCCCTGCATGTTCTAGATGTTTCCCTGCTTCATCAGACCTGCTTTCAGCTGACGACTGATTAAGAGGCACTTGCTGAGCAGCAATCATCTGAAGGCCTGAACAAAACAGTTATGTACGACTTTTTAGTCACCGAATCAATTATTTTCTATGTCACACAGACTGCGTGTAGAGAGGCTCCAACTAGGCAGGGCTGGCAGATCTGTGCAGATTTTATTTTCACTTCTGTGAAAACGATTTCCCACAATTGACTTTGATAGATTATGAAAAGTTATTAAAAATTAAAGAATAAAGCAAATCCCCACTTAATGAGTCTGTGCAGCATCTCTAACCAGAACAGACAGAGAATTTTTATAGGTCTATGTTAAAAACATAATGAGAACCACGTCTAAAGAAACGAAAAATTATATGTTGACTGAGGCAGGATTCTCAGAGACCGATCTGGGAAGTTTATCAAAGTTTTTTTTCCATTAAAAGGGGAGAGTGAAGAGCTTCGCTTACTGCCCTGTCTCCCCCTCATTATTTTGTTTTTGGTGATGCTTAAAGAGGATCACTATTTTACTATATCCATTTTTTTTCCTCCTGAATTTATTTTTTATTTTTCGAGGAGATTGATAAACTGTGCTTTCTGTCCCTGTTTTTTGCAGGGCTCAAAAAGGTTCACCGTTTTCTGTCCTCCTGAACTCCTATCATGAGTGAAGTATTCTATTTTTAATGTTTCATTGTTTTTGCAGGAGTGTCCCGCTTGCCATATCTTTCCCTTTGCAATGAACAGATTTTTATTTTGTATTTTCCCCCAAAGCAGATGTGTTTTACTTTGTAACCTCGTCTCTCTTCCTGTCAGACTGAGATTACAGCTGAATCGCTGCGTAGTCCGGCTAAAATAGACCTGGGGTCTATCAAAGTCAGAGCTACGCAAGCCCCTTGCAGAAAATCATGTTGGGTTTGATCATACCCATTGACTTTCAATGAGGAACTAAATGCCACGACCTCGTCCGACGCGATTTTCAGTCTGATCGGATGCAGAATCGGGTTCGGTATGTTCTGTTCTGTCCTTGAATCAGGTGTGTTGAACTGGGGTCTAAAAAATGCAGAGCAGGGGGTTGAAAAATGACTGATTTGGAGAAGTTCTGAATGAGGTGAAACACAAATGCAACCACAAGTTTCAGATTTTCACTTCTTTAAAACAAAAATATTATTATTCAGTAAACTGTTGGTATTTCTTAAAAAAAAATCTGTTAAAGTTTGTGAAGTACCTTTGCAAAGTATTTTATGTGGGACTTTATTCATTTCAATAGATCCTTTTCAGTTACATGGAAACCAGCTCCAACAAACCGATGAGTATTTCTCCTTAAACATTTTTTTCTTGTCTGCATCACAACTTTCAGATCAACTCAGTTCACCCAGCAGCATAAAACGCAGCTGGTAACCAACCTTCTGTTATCATTGAATCAGACTATGGGTCGCTCTTCCCACTCAGAATGATGCAGGGCTGAATCTATGCTCCATCATCAATTACAGTGAGGGTTGATGTCCTCCTGCAGCAGCAGCATCATTTGTATCAGAGACACGACCGGAGGCCCGAGGCCGTGGAGCATCTGTGGTCACAGTCGCTGAACTTTGGATGAAGCCGTCTGAAGTAATCGAGTCGGCAGAGTTGGCTCCTCTGTTAAATGTCCTCAGTTCACCTCATGACGCTCACGCAGTTCAGCTGAGTTTAATACAGTCCTACCAGATCAAATATTTCACTGGTTTTTATTTATCACTGCTCTAGTGGATTTGTTTATGCTTTTTTTTGGGATGTTAAACCTGAAATGATTTGTCCCTCTGGCAGATTCAGGACTCAATTTAACGTGACGTGTCATTTAAGAATGAAAATATAAATAAAAAATTATTTTTTCCAGTCTTCTCTCTGTTGAACTCCACAAATTATTCGGAAATAAACAATTTCTAACGATTTGAGATGTCACAAAGGTTCTTACTTTTTATGCTAAATTCTGGAGCTTTGCGGCATCAGAGAACCACGGCTGGTGCTCTCCGTCTGACACCCGATGCTTAAAAGACATCAGTACTGGTCTGATACTGGATCTGATGAGTCAAATATCCGACTGGAACAATTTAATCCATAAAATTGCTAGAAATGAACTAAAGGGAGAACCTGAATTTTGTGATACGAAGCCATAGTGCTGCCAGCCTGGAACGCTTAGATGCATCCCTGCTGGAACGCACCAGAATGAGTTCATTGGTTCGTAACGAGGTCTCTGCAGAACGAGAATGGATGCAGGATGTTTGGGCAGACTGATTGAAACTTTCAGGAAGAAAAACTACATGTTTATTTTAAGTTGGTTTACTTCACTTTTTGCTTCTTTCCAAACATTAAAGAGAACTGTAAACTTTTACTTTTTGACTTTCAAGTTTTTTCTTTTCTATTTGTGTTAGTTGCATAAAGGAATACCTTAAAGGAGAAGTTCGGTTTTTTACACTTTAAGCCCATTTTCTGTAGTGTCCAGGATGAAATCGAATGATCGACACCAAAAGTTTGACAATTGCTCCTGTCTCTGCTTTTTGGCTCATTTAGAATCACCCCCTGGCTGCTTCATAATGGCTGCCATAGTGCATGTCGGATAATGTCCTTAAAACAACCTTAAACGTTCTTTTTTTAAAATATGCTACTCACCGTGTCGTCAGCGCTGTTCAATGACGTTCCAAAAAAAGTTTCGTGAAGAAAAAACGTTCCTGTCTTGTTTTATTTAGCATTTTGTAAATCCCATTGAGTTCTGTAGGAATAGTCAATATTCCCCTGCCACCGGAAACGGAAATGGGGCCTGTTTACACAGTTGTAGTCTTTTCGCTTCACTCTGCGTACTCCGACGTCGAGAATCAAGAATCCACCTTTCGTATTCCATTTTCAGAGTTTTTTAAAGTGTTTAACAGAGACGTTAGCACCTCGACTTCGGAGTACACAGAGTGAAGCGAAAAGACTACAACTGTGTAAACAGGCCCCATTTCCGTTTCCGGTGGCAGGGGAATATTGACTATTCCAACAGAACTCAATGGGATTTACAAAATGCTAAATAAAACACTACAGGAACGTTTTTTCTTTACGAAACTTTTTTTGGAACGTCATTGAACAGCGCTGACGACCCGGTGAGTAGCATATTTAAAAAAAAGAACGTTTAAGGTTGTTTTAAGGACATTATCCGACATGCACTATGGCAGCCATTATGAAGCAGCCAGGGGGTGATTCTAAATGAGCCAAAAAGCAGAGACAGGAGCAATTGTCAAACTTTTGGTGTCGATCATTCGATTTCATCCTGGACACTACAGAAAATGGGCTTAAAGTGTAAAAAACCGAACTTCTCCTTTAATGTTGGACTGGATCTTAGAATTTCTGTCCTTGCTCATAATTTGGATCCAGAATATAAAGCCCAAGTTTCTGTATTTCAACTTCACAAAGTGCTAAAATACACACATATTCCCTGAACAGGATTCATTAATTTAAATATCCTCTTTTGAACGATGAGTTGTAAAAACAATAAGAACATGTATCTAAAACCCTTTTTTTTTGTCTCTTTAAATTAAACTTTGCGAGATATGTGACACGATACTGCTCAGCAGACGCTTCAAATACCTGTTTATTTCTAAATAATGATCTGAGGAAAATGTTGCAAGAGGCTGCCTTTCTGGAGAAACAAAGGAGCCCCACGGCTGACTCCCAGCCGGCTCTAGGAGAGCGGCGTGTGAGGTCCCCGGCCGCTCAGAGGAGGGCAGCCTCGCCCAGAGGGAGGACCAGGAAGCAGGGAGGAGGTCCTCCCTGAAACAAACGCTGGCCTCTCTGCTTAGCTTGGGGTCTAGACAAGTGAAAATAAAGCAACGTGCCGGACCTCATGAGGGGAGACAAAGTGCATGCAGAGGGACACATTAGAGGATGATAGCAGTGCAGATTGCATAGAATTAACCGTTTGAAGTCTCCTGCTGCCTGCAGCTTGCTCTGACACTGTACAGATGCAGAACTGCTCGTCTGTTATTACTGCCATGATTAGTTTTATAAATGAAATCCGGTGCAGTGCAGAGTAGGATGTGCGTGCATGCAGCTGAATGGTGCGTCCTCCGGCCTGCGCTCTCTAACCTCATCCGCTAAGAGGATGAAGGTCCACCTTTACTTTTTCGCCACTGCTCAGCATCCCTACTGTGGGGTAGAGACCTCCAGGGGGGACTGCCATCTCCCGTCGGCCCATGAGTTTCCCGTTCCTGGTGAAAAACACCTAGAAGACAACAGAGAAAAAGCAATGAGAGCTACCACTCAAATGCAGATTGACAGGATGAACCCAAAAGCAGCATCGGCAGGTTTAACATTCGAACGTAAGAAGTGGGTTTGATTTCTACAACGGACCTCTGATCTCTCAGCAGTTGGGATATGTGTTAACAGGGTTGTTTTTTTGGAGGTGAGGTTCAGGGATAAAGTCTTGTGTGTTTTAGGCAGAGAGGGGTGAGACGATTTTAGCAGATTTCTAACCCCCTTATCTCTGCATATGCCGTCTAAAAACTATGTGCCAGAAAAATACACTGCAAAAACGATCTAGAAATAAGTCAACATTTCTTAAATTAAGTGTATTTGCCTTTGAGTAGGTAAAAAGATGATATTCCAATACAATAAGTATTTTTACTCTAAAACTAAGATAATTAGATAATATGCACGCAATTGTGTTTCCTTATTTTAAATGTAAATTGTCTTGTTCCATTGGCAAAATGTCTTTCCTCCTCAATTCAAGAGGAAATGCACTCTTTTTTAAGAAAAAAATGACTTATCTAGAATTCTATTTTTTCCATTGTACTTAGGATGTTTTATTTAATTTATCGAAAAACATGCCCTACTTTTAATCATGAAATTAGAGGAGAGTGGTCGTTACTAAGAGGGCTTGAAGATTATCAAATTAAACTAAAGACGGTTGTTTTTAAAGCTGTTAAGATTGTTATTTATAACCACACGTTTTTATAACCTTTTTAGTGAAAAACAAGTTTGTAAAATGCTGATTTAACTCCTTGGTGGATGAGATCGGCCCTCATTACCTCAGGTGTCTGGATGTTGTTGGGCTGTCATGGCAGACTGGGGTGGTGGTGAGGGAGGGTGGAGCCGGAGATTGATCGTTAAATCTGAATCACGACCGAAACAATGAGATCCTGGATGCTAATGGCTGAATATTTACTGCACATTACAGACAACCTCACCTGGACTGTAAACCCCACATCACTGGTCAAAAGGGCACATAAGTGCATGTACTTCCTGCTGAGGATGAGGAAAGCCCACCTGCCCCCACCCATCCTCACCAACTTCTACAGAAGCACCATAGAGAGCGTTCTGACCAGCTGTCTCACTGTGTGGTGTGGAGGCTGCAGCACCTCAGACTGGAAGAAGGTGAGAACAGCAGAGAGGATCATGGGGGCTCCTCTTCCCTCCATGAAAGACATTTCATCCCAGCGCTGCGTGTCCCGAGCCGTTAAACATTATAAATGACCCCTCACCCCCCCACCATGGACTGTTCTCCCTGCTGCCCTCTGCGAAGAGGCTTCGAATCATTCGATGCAGGTGAAGATGATTCCAGAACAGTTTCCTCCCAACTGCCATTAGACTGTCTAATGTTGTATAAAATGGGGTTAAAAAAAAAGAACCCTAAAAGTTGGAAACTAACTCGTATACAGTCGTATGTTTACATTTGTCACTACTGCTCACCTTTTATAACGGCTGCACTTTAAAAAATGAAAATGTCTTGCGAGCTGTACTGAACAAATTTTCTTTTTGTGTACACTCTGTGTATAAAATGACAATAAAGTCTGTCTAAATTTGAAATGAGCCTTCCGTAAGGTGGCCGGGCTCTGCTTTAGAGGTAGTGTGAAGAGCGAGTAGAGCCGCTTCTCTTTTCCACATCAGGAGGAGTCAACTGAGGTATGACATCTGATGTCTCTTGGACACCTCCGTCCTCCCAGCATACAAGCTAATATTATACATTTTATTAGAGCATGACTGTTTATACCTTAAGTTTTAAGGACTGGTAAACACAAACCATGTAAATCATTTAAAAATGAGCTTTACATATTGGGAAATTAACAAGATCATAATATGTAAATCCCAGCTTCTTCTTAATAGTAGCAAACGTAACATAAAACTATCTAAAAAAGTGAACCCAAATATTTTGGTTGTTGCAATGTGCACGAGTCAAGTAGAAAGTACTCTGCTGAAATGTTCAGAACAAGAGAACCTTGCAGCAAGGAAATCCGCTCAAAGCTCCGTTCCTTAAATCTTACTGTTTATAAGCCATCATGATAACATCCTTTTGGTGTTTTTGTTAGAAAAAGTCGGCAATGTCCTTTCAGAGTCGTACAGCAGCCCTCTTTGGGTACGCAGTGTTAGTAACTGTTGAAAAGTCAAGATAGGCATCCATGATGGTGGGTAGTTTATAACTGCTGTCCCAGACTCTGAATTGAAAATGTTAAAGTTTGAATAAGATGCTCTTGTTTTATCTTGATTGTGGTGCTTTATAGCTATTTAGAAGACAAGTCTTGGCTTCTATCTGGTTATGGATTGACAGAACCCTTTGGTGGTTTGAATGAATGGAAGGAAATGTTCATTTCCATCCCTGAAAAGTACCCTCCCAATGATGGTAAAACCACTGACTGGGTACAAGGAAAAATCTTTCCAGAACGCGTTCTAAGAAGACAAACATCATCGGAGAGCTCTCGGTTCAGGAGTCCCAAACAGGAATTAAGTGCAATTAGGAAATATGGTTAAACAAATAGGTGAGAGTGTAACGTCTGTCGTCTTGAAGGGGAGAAAGTCAATGTTTACAGAACAAGTCTCCACTAAATCAGCGACTGATCAAACATCTTCCAGCTGTTCTCTAAAGAACGTCAGCGCAGCTTTTCAACGCTAATACGGACGGCTTCTCTCCAAAGTCGGAGCCCAAATAGCGAGACACTAAAACAACAACCTGAAGTGCCGTAGAGTACCGTCTCTTTGATGAATGAGACTGAGTCACATATCAAACATTAACTGTGCCACCCACTCTAACTTGTTTAATAACACACCACAGAAACGTATTTCATTAGTCTGAACAACAGCAGAACAGTGCGTGCTGTACCGCCACATTGAGACTAATGTGTCCTGCTGAATAAATACCGACAAATCCCTGGATTAGATCCCAGCCCGTTCTGCTCCCTCACCCAGCTGGGTTTCGGCCCCGCTCTCCCTCGCCCCCTCTCACTGACCCCCCTGGCCCCTGCTTGCGCAAGCGTGCAGGCGAGTCGAGGCAAAGTCAGAACCTCTGAGTTTGAAACAGCAGCAGCCCGGAACCGCTGGTGGATAGGAGCGCAGGGAGAGCTGCAGGGCACACGTTGCAGTGTGAACCGAGATCCGGGCAGCAAACAAATAAGAAAGTGCTGCAAGTGGCTTTGGTTTCTGCCCTCAGGACTAATATGAAATAACGGCCATGGTCCTTCTGAGTGTCTCGCTCTGTGAGGCGGTGCCAGGAAGCCGACAGGTTAGAGGTGCCTCATGAAGGTTTGTTGAGCTGATGGATAAAACTTATAGGCTCTGGTATGGATGGGAGATATTTCAAAGGTTTTTAAAACAAAATGATCAACAGGTGGCGCCAAATAAATGCAGCAAAGTGAAAAAGTAGATGTGGGTTCAAACTAACATAGCTGGTAACTAAAAGACCTAAGCCAGGTTCTCGTTCATCTTCAAACTCTCTAAGGAGACAAATATATAAAAATTGAATAAATGACACACACACATACTCTTCTAGACAGGCACTATCTAAAATAATAACAATAATAATAATAATATTGAACTTTATTGATCTCACATTGGAGTTATTTACCTCTGCATTTAACCCATCCCATTAGGGAGCAGTGGGCTGCCATTGTGCGGCGCCCGGGGAGCAGTGTGGGGTTAGGGGTCTTGCTCAGAGACCCAGAGTGGCAGTCTGTGGGAGTGAGGCTCGAACTCAGAACCTCAGGATTTTGGTGAAGATTCTCAGTCAATCAGGTCGTAGTCATTCCAAAAAAGTTAAAAAACAATCCACTGGACTTTGTTTCCAAGTTTGAAGACGTTGCGCTTCCCATCCAAAAAGCTTTTTAGTTCCAAAATGTCAGGAATAGCTTTGAGTTCGAGGGGCTACTGTATAAAACCTCGAACTAAACGCTATTCCTGATATTTTGAATTGAAAAAGCTGCCTGGATCGGAAGGGTAATGTTTTCAAACTTGGAAACAAAGTCCAGTGGATTGTTTACCTATTTTGGAACCTCAGGATTTCAAGCTCTATGCCCTAACCACTAGGTCGCCTCTCCCCAAAATTATACTTTGACTATATTCTAATTATTGACAAAATAATATTTCTTCTGGGGATGTTTTATATCTTAAGCAAGGATTTCAGGTTTTTCTATTTCTTTTTCTTTTAAAAACATTTTAAATTCTCTACAAGTTTTTTTCATAACGACTAAAAACATTTTTTATAGGTAGATGGACTAATAAACAGGTGGAGAACCAGCACAGATGGATTATTGAGTTGATTCCTTCCAGGTATCAAGCACCTCCTCTCTTCAGCCAGGTGAACAATCCTGCCTTTAACGACTGACCTTGCACAATCATAGACAGGTTTCAGACATTACAGGCTAACAATGGAACCAAACGACCCGCTCGTAAGTTTCAATTTGCATGTTTCCAAGCAATACAAGGCCTTGTCTATATAAAGCCTCAAACTCACTGCGGATCCAGACATTTAAATTGAGAAAGCTTCCTGGACGGGATGCGAAACATCTTCAAACCTTGGAAACCAAGTCCAGTGGATTGTTTTTTAAACTTTTATGGAAGTAGAGAGAAACTGTTATTCAATAACTTCATGCAGGGTAAAAATAACATTTGGAACATTTGTCTTTTTTATTAATCCCTCACTGATTCGATGACGCTGACTTAAGGGTCTCTAAGAGGTAAGTCCGTCCTTCCAGGATGCTTTAGCTTTTCCTGTTTTCTAAAGCAGAGCTTTACGACCCTGGCAGCGTGTTTGCAGACTAAATATCTGAACCTCAAGTTAACCTCAGATAACATTTAAACTATGGTTAATGGATGCTTAAAATAACTAATAAATGCTTAAAATAGGATGCTTAAAATAATAATAAAGAAGATTTTAAATAATCTATTAAAAAAATGGGTGGTACAAAAACAACAACTGATAGTATCTTAATGCTTAATGTTCATGAATTTAACAAATGTTTTAGGGACTTTAAACATAATTTGTTACTTTCAAATGTTCTGGCTTATAAAATAATAGATGATGTCTATAAATGGTTGAGCTATTGTCTGACAAGCAAATACAAACAAAAACAGTTCATATACTTAATCCAATATTTCACCTAAAACACATTAAATATGGAGTCCTACAGGGTCCAGTTTTGAGGCCTAAACTTTTATTTATTTATACAATAGACATAATTGTGAAGTTTGTATAAATTACATATCCTTATATATGCAGATGGATTTTTTTTATTGTTCTGATTTTTTTATGTTGTTATAGAAAATAATGTAAGTGAAATGATTTCTCTCTCTATTACTTTTTTATAGTTTTTCTAAATATAAATGAATCAAAATGAATCATTTTTGAGACTGATTTTAATCACTATGGTGATTTCTTAGGTCCCCTGAAAAAGTAACTTTGCATATTTAAAAATTTTCAGTTCTGAGTTTGAATTTCAGTGAAGGCTGACTTACATAAAATTAAACCAGATTTTTTAACAAGTAGAAGCCATAAAAGATAAGACTCGACTTGGATCAGAACCTTTCCTCCTCAGAACATGTGCCTGCTTGTGTTTCTCAGAACAAACTCTACAATGAGAGGCAGAGCCAATGGTTTTCAGGGTTCCTTCCTGTTGCTCCAGCAGCCAGTTCTGGAGATGGATGCTGATATTGTCTCCACAACATTCATTGTTTTGGTGACGCTGCTTCAGTTCATTAGGGTACATCTGTTTCTCCACCGCTCTCTTAAGGACTAAGAACAGCTTTTCAGACAGGCATGGATTTTAAACAATCATTGCTGATTGTTGATTATTAGCTTTTTATTTCAGCCGTTCTGTTGTAAATTTGCAGCTGTGTCTCGGATCATTGTTCAATTTACACCAAGCTTCAGATTTTGAAAAGATGGCTTCACATTTGATTCAAAGATACATTAATGTCCAGGATTTTTTTGTCTTATCCACTCCTATATTTAGCTATGATTGGTGACACAATTTATGGCCAAACATCTCAACTTTGGTCTGAAATGTTAAAGTCGTTGCAAAAGAGGTGTGGGCCATTTAGATGCAAGTTTGCAAATCAAGTAAAGCTGCAAAAGAGGGCTGAACAATTTTGCCAAAAATCAAAACTGCAATTTTTTTCATTCATTGTAGCAAATTCTGTTTGATTTTCCTTTTGCATTAATCACAATAATGTAGACATTTCATGATCTTGAAATCCTGGATGTTCTAAGTCTATTGTTACCGTTTAACTTTCATGCATAGATCTCACATTTTCTGCATCTCCTTCCCTCTTGTCTGGTGGAAAACTTATTTTAGTGAATTATCACCACCCAATGGGCTGAAGTGAGACAGTTAGTGTTCTGCCTTTGTTAAAGGTATAGTGGAGGACTTTCTATTTCGGGGTGGATCGTCAAAATAAGTGGTCCACCTAATTGTCAATAATTCTGGTGATATGTTTACGTAAGGCCGTCCTAAGTGCTCGTCCCCATTTTCACTTACCGGTGGTGAGTCTGACATAGTGGAAAAATTGCAAATCTTGTTTTGGAAAGTAAGCTTTGTATCAGTGATGCAAACATCAACTTTTAAACAGAGCGTGCACGAGGAGAAATGGGCTCCAGCAAGCTCTCACATGTGTTTAATAGGAGTTCCCTCTCGGGAGAAGGTACAGAGTTGTAAATGTGCATTTTTTTTTTTGTTAAGTGGAGAGGGCAGGTCTTTTACAAAATTCCAAAAATTCTCCACTATGTTTTTAAATGTATAGGTACTAAATTAACACCTAAAGTGTCTCTACTCTTGGAAAATTGCATTTTGTTAAATTGTGATTATATTACACATGTAATTAATTATTTTATATAATTAATTGCCCAGGCCTACTGTCAAGTCATGTCAAGGGAAAGAACCAAATATCTCAAAGAACCACTGGTTAAGCGTCCTGCATTCAGGCTGTCTGTCCCCCTTATGAATTTAATGATATTTGTTGTTTGATGTAGCATTAAAAGTGAGGGATAAATAGATTTCAAATATGATAAGAAGCTACAGCTAAGTTGAACCATTGTCAGGGTTAAACTATTTGATAGAAGCAACCTTTACACTAAAACCTTGTGTTCAATATGGAATTTAAACATTTTTCCTACAGTTTATGTCTGCTTTGAACCGAAAGCAGAACAATAATATTTTAACTTTATGTGTTATAATGGCAAGAGATATTATCTCAACATTTACCAACATGATTGCATGTTGTATATTTTTGTAATAATGTGTTTCCTTGCTATAAAGCCTAACTCACCGTCACCTTCCTCCCCTGCTGTTCCTGAGGGATCTCTTCCCCTTCCTCGTCATCCTCTTCCTCCTCTTCACCGTTAAGATACAGAACATTCTGGATGCCCTGTTGACTGGGATGGCCCTCCAGTCGATCCCAGTCCTCCACATCAGCTGTGCACAATATGGGGTGCGGTGGGGGGGTTAAATAACTGAGGGTTGACTTGTGATTTTCCAAAAACAGGTAGAACATTTTTTTAAATATATGTATATATATTTTATTGTATCTGAACCTTCTCTATCCAGGCTGTAGTCCCGTGGGAACATGATGCCGCAGCCCATGATGTCCCCTTTGAAGCAGCGGGGGCCAAAAGCATCTCCAACTCCGCTGCCATGGAAGATCTTCCCATCATCTGACAACGACATGCACCCCATTAATTGATGATAACCTGATCATTTATTTAATCATGAAAAGAGAAAAATATCCGAGATCAACAGAATAATCCGATTAATATCTATGTTTAAACTCTTGTCTTGATGCTACTCAATCAAAGCACAAATATTCACAATCCTGGAACTTTAACACATTTTAATATAAGACCAACCAACACAAAGTAGCAGATAATTATAAAGTGGAATACAATTATTCCTCCAGATACATCTGGTGTGCAATTGCTTTATTTCTTATTTTTCATCTTCTGTGGCACTCTAAGAAAAATGACATCTACCATGATTGTTGGAAGGAAATCTGATAATCAAACAGTCGATACTGGGGAGGAAGTTCACCTGACAGCAGAACAAAGATGTTAAACATACAATCAGAGCTGCAATCAAAATATTTTAGAGTATGCGTGTGGGTGAAATACAAAACCGTGCCACACTTTTCAGATTTATAGCAAATAATAAGAACAGAATATTCTTTATTTTTTCCTAAACTGTGTATTACTTTATGCTGGATTTTAACACAATATCTCAATAAACTACATTCGAGGTTTTTTTTGTAAAAAAAAAAAAAAAAGCAAAAAGGATCATAAGGGATAAAATACTGCAAAGGCCTGTAGCTGTAACATTTCTTTTGTGAATAAAAAAAAAAGCAGAACAACTGAAAAACGGAAATATTGTGAACCAGTGAATGAAAGGACATACTTTATTAGAGCTGGGTGAATTTTCTGTTTATGAAGATTTATTTTTTTTTGTGGAAAATCTGGGGTTATTTCCACCACTAGCTCAGAGTAACATCAGTTAATTATTTTTTATTTCTAGCTGTGTACTCTTAACTGATCAACTTGGTTACTGTGTGATACCACCAAAGTAAACGGTGTTTAGAAGCATGTTTAACAGCTTCAATTTTTAGTTCACTTTAAATTAAGGTCACCTCCCAGAGAGGATGATTGAAATAAAAGCTAGTTTTTGAAAGTAATACATATTGTTTGGTACTTTTTATTATGAATCTTCAATCAGAATGGGTTTGAAAAAAAGATTTTAAGCAATATTGCCTTTATTTTATAATTTAATCCATCATGATCTAGTTCTGGATAATTTTCACAATTTTCCACATCAGATTTGGTGCAGAGCTGGACCTACTTTTTAAACATACTAGAAAACTGACATCCTGACATTCCTTTCATACGATAATACTGATGAGCAAAGACAGAAGCAGGACTTGTAAAAACAGTTGAGTACAAACAAAATAAAGAGACGTCGACAACATCCAAAGAAAAATAATCAAAGCTTCACATCCTACAGTAGTGAAAGACAACAAAGGAACAGAAAAAAAAGAAGAAAAACATCATAGAGATAGCCTGCAGACAAGTGCTCCTCAAGCAAAGCGGGATGGCTGGTTCTTGTAAATATTTATGGAGTTGTCATGGGATCCATCCTCAGCTCAGGAAACAGTTTAAACAGCCTCTATCGGAGAAGCAGGGAGCCAGACAGAGACACTGTATCATTAAAGCTGCCATGCGGGGCCTTGTAACAACATTGTGCACAAGGCAAACGGGGGGGGCATGCCGGCAGAGGCCAGCGTGAAACTGAAAATGGAAGGGAGGATCCAAAGATCCAGGCTTGGTCTGCATGGTAGTTACTAACGAGCCAGCAGCACCGATCAGACGTCAGAAAAGAAGCAAAACTTTAGTCCCAGTATAACTTTCTGGCATCTTGAATTACATGAGTCATAACGTTTAAAGAGTTATGAGATATGTGTACAAAAAAAGACAAATCAACTTGAGGAAAAATGTTCTAAGATAATTTCATTTGGATCAGGTTTAACGGATCTGCCCCTGGCTGAAGGTGATCAGATCAAAGTCAACCCAAAAACTGATCTTTTCTACCTCTATTTGTGCTGATCTCGTCAAGACTGTTTTGTTAAGCATCTCTTATGTCTAACTGTGGGTCTAATAGATGGAAGCAGTGCTTCTTTCTGTATTTTCAGCTCCTGTGCATTTGGAGCAGATGGCTGCTTGTAACAGAGGCAGGTTCTGCTGGACGTTTCTCCTGGTTTGTAGAGGAGTGGTTCTTCTCCATTGTTGCTAAAAGCTACTTCAGAAGGAGGAACTGCGAAAATGTTTAAAGATAAAATTCAGCCAACTTGGCTTCCTTAGAAAGATATTTTTTTTACTACTTTAGCTTTTAAATTAGACTATATTGTATTCGGCGTAATTAGATATAAATCCACAAATAACACTACATTATAAAGGAATTATTTAGATTAATTTAAACAGCTTTTAAAACAACCCTTTTCAAGAAAAACCTGGCGTCTGTAAAGCCCAAAACATGATTTAGTCTATCTCCACTTGTAAAACATTTATATTTTAAATGAGGAAATAAGCTTTTGAGTTCTAATCCTGGTTTTTTTCCTTGCTCATTTTATTTCTTGCTCAAACGCTACAAAAATATATATCTATCTTAAAACCTATCTACAAAGAATTGAGGAACCTGCCATGATTAATTTGGCTTTATTATTTTGCAGCTTAAAAATAAGGTATGTCGATTTCTGTTAGGTCCACTACAGACAGCCAAAATATACAAAATGCAGAAGAAACAAACACACTACAAAAAAATTGCGTTAACATTTCAATAGAATAGAAATCAAATGTATGCAAAGTAACAAGCACTTAAAACTTTTGTTCAGTTTGTAATTTGATTTAAGTATTTGACATCAAAGAGCTACTTTGATGATATTGTCATTTCCTAGAATCGTTTGTAGACCGATAGGTTAATACTGAAGATCAATGTAATAAAGTCAATGTTTCCACCTATCTCCATTATAGCATGTTGAGCTCAAAAGTATTCTCCCTCTGTCACCACAAAGAGATGGGCTTTCGCTATTATTCCTACTACTAAATATAGGATATTTGTTTGAAAATAAGCCTGTTTAATTCATAAAAACTCAGAACAACTTGCTATGTCATGCTGCATGATTTTGATGCAAAATTAAATGCAATCAATAATACGTTATCAACACTTTGATGCTTTGTAAAATATATTACCAGGAGTGGTTGTTGATATATAACCGCATCATCTGAGCAAAAATGAAAAGTTTAATTCAAAATATTTGTTCAAGAATATTTTGCAGAATAAAAATGGGCCAAGCATAGAACCTTTGGTAATTCTCTTTTCTTCCTTGAATACCTCAAAAGTAGAGATAGACTGATGTATAAGCCAGAAGATAGTTTTTGTAGTTATTTATTTTATTTTTTTTCCTGTATTAGTGTCCGTAAATACGTGCATGTTTTTGTCGATTCATTAATACAATCAGGAGCCATGTCTTTAGATCAAATTAAGAACATCATCGGGGACAGGGTTTAAACTGTCCCGAAATATAAAGGGTGCCACACCCTTAAAAAAAGAAAGAAAAAAAAGAAAGGGTGCCACACAAACCCTAATTAGTGTTTCATGTAACCCATTTGTGTTTTGAAAAGCCTTAAAATTACACCCGTTTTGAATCGGCACCAAGTATATAAACTGGACTGATTTAAACTGCTGCACTAATATAAACGCCTTCCTTACTTGAAACCTTGGCTTTAGGTTCTCAAACCTCATCCAAAATAATCAGGTTTTTCTGGGTCATTTTCAATAAATTAATGCTGCTATATGTTTAGGCTGCTGGAGGACCATCTCTTTGCTTTTCCTTGTCAGAGTAGCTTCATCTTGTCTGCTCCTGTATGACTATGAATCCATCTTGGATTTAAATATCAGCTGTGCTGCTGCCATAAACATCTTTGTTTAAAGATGTTGGAGTTGGGCCTATTTTTTCAGTGTTATCATGTTTCTTTTACTGTGACTTACTGTATGTGCTCCAATTTTATCCTTTGACGTGGGAGCTGACTCAAAGCTTGCCTGCCTGCCTGGAGAGCTATAGTTAACAGTTACCTTTTGTGTATCTGCATATTTTTAAAAGTCTGCATCTATCTCATTGAACCCCAGTCGGCCATGGCAGAAGGCTGCTGAAACTGAGCCAGGTTCTCCAGGAGGCTTTGTCAATTTAAAAGGCACTTTTTGCTCCCCACTGTTGCTGCATGCATACTTGATTTGTTGGATTGGACAGGAGTCAACAACAAAATGCAAGTGAATAGCGTTTCAGCATTGCTGAAAAAAAGAAGGGAGAAGATAGAGTTCAGGAGCAGTATTACATCAACCTTTATATATGATGAGGGTCAATACAGATACAATATGAGTTTTCCCCTTGTTATGAAACTATGTTATTCAAACCCATAGTGCCCTGTTAGGTAACCCTGTTTGATAATATATTGCTCTTGGACAACTGTTTTTCCAGACCTGGAGATGGATCAGATTAGAACATGTCACTGATAGAGAGCGCTGAGGTCAGAAGGAGCCCTTTATCCTCAACTACATGAGGGTGATGGTGGTCGGGTGAAACCTTTCGCTGCGGGTGTTGAGTAATAGCACGAGTGAGTCAAATATGGGCAGGTTTTACAGGGGAGTGACAGTGTTAATGACAGTTCCTAAAGCGCATGCGCTGGTTGGATAGCTGAGTTTCCCCAAATAGCACTTTCAGGGCCCCCAAGGGCCATTTTACCCATTTACTTGCAGAAGCCAACACCTAGCAAAAATTGTTTTTAAACTTGTGAAAAGGAATTTGCTTTACAGCTACCTTAAGCTGGTTAGATAACTAAAGATGCTGAGGGCTGTACCATGAAGCGAACTCAACGTAGTGGGATTACTTCCAGTCTATCCAGTTTAAATAGCTCAAAAATAGGAGCAGTCTGGATCAACAGGACCACAAAGCTGGTTATAAACTCGCCAACTCAGTCCAGCTTGAACTGATCATGAATCTTTGAGCACACACGTATTAAGGGTTGGTCCAAGGTAGCAGACCAATCAAAAACAAATAAAAACAAAAACAAAAACCAATCCTGCAGAAATGTGAAGAAGAAAAAACAGTCTCAAAAGTAAAACATGGTGGCGTCATGAAATACATCAAACAGCGTGGCAAAAGATTGCCGACTCCATAAATAAGCAAGTTACACATCAGAGAAATTTAATACAAACCACATCCCAATCAGTGCACTGAATATTAATCGCATTCATCTGGTTAGTTGGACTTTCCATCCACCCACCCATCCATCCATCCACCCACCCATCCATCCATCCACCCATCCATCCATCCATCCTCTTCCGCTTATCCGGGGTCGGGTTGCGGGGGGTAGCAGCTTCAGCAGAGAGACCCAGACGTCCCTCTCCCCACTTGGTCCAGCTCCTCCGAGGGAATCCAATGCCTTCCAAGGCCAGCCGAGAAACATAGTACCTCCAGTGGGTCCTGGTTCTCCTCCCCATGGGATGTTCCCGGAACACCTCACCGCAGAACCGTCCAGGATGCATCCTAACTAGATGGCCTAGCCACTTCAACTGGCTCCTCTCGATGTGGAGGAGCAGCGGCTGTACTCTGAGGCCCCGTCCACACGAAGACGAACCCTGGCCTAAACGCACAAATTTTTCACCAAACCAGCCTCTCATCCACACGAAGCCGGCGTTTCGGGGTCTGTAAACAATCTTTTTTTTATTCAGCCTTCAGAGTGGGAAGATTTCGAAACGCAGTTTTCGCGTTTCCATCTTTACGCTCTAACCGCATATTTTTTTTTACACGCATGCGTCATAGCGTCGCTTCTAAACACGCATGCGCGACACAGTATCACAACAACAATGGCGCGTTGCTGCTAATGCTACTCACCCTGCTGTCGGGCTTACAACATAATCTTCTTCTGGAATATCTCCAGGAAGAACAGAGCAATATCGACGACATAGTTCAGCACCTGAATTTGACTTAACCACGAAAATGGACCCGCAGGGCAACCATGTATAAATATTAGTGCGCATGCCCAACATTTCGTCGCTTATTTTTGCTTTGGCACCACAGCGCCACTTACAGGCCTGGCATACATTTTGTTGCGTTTTCATGCATTCGTGTGGACGATCACATTTATTTTACGTCTCCGTCTTTACGGCAAACGTTTTGGAAAATATCAGCGTTTCGTGTTTGTTTTGACTTCGTGTGGACGGGGCCTGAGTCCTCCCTGGATGACTGAGCTCTTCACCCTATCTCTAAGGGCAAGCCCAAACACACTACGTAGGAAACCCATTTTGCCTGCTTCTATTCGGGATCTTGTCTTTTCTGTCATAACACAAAACACATGACCATCCTCATTCTTTAATATGACCCCAAAAAACTTAAACTCCTCCACCAAAGGCAGTACATCCTCCCGAAGCCAGAGAAGGCATTCTACCCTGCCTCAAGATCATGGTCCCGGATTTGAAGGCACCGATCCTCATCCGGCCGCTTCACACTAAGCTGTGAACCGCTCCAGTGAGAGCAGTAGATATTGCCCAATAAAACCACATAATCCACAAATAGTAGAGACGTGATCCATCCATCCATCCATCCATCCATCCATCCATCCATCTTCTTCCGCTTATCCGGGGTCAGGTCACGGGGTAGCATCTTCAGTAGGGAGGCCTGGACATCCCTTTTCCCAGCCACTTCGGCCAGCTCCAAAGGCGCTCCCAGGCCGAGAAACATAGTCCCTCCAGCGTGTCCTGGGTCTCCCCCTGGGCCTCCTCTCGGTGGGACATTCCTGGAACACCTCACCAGGGAGACGCCCAGGAGGCATCCTAATTCCTAGTTGTCCATAATATTTTTCTTTTTAGAAGATGGAAGATATGTAGCATCTTGCTGCAAACTCTGGAGGGCCTGAGCTTCCTTAGGAAGAACAGTCCGCCCTCTCCTTTCTTGTAGATGGCTTCACAGTTGCGTCTCTAGTTGAAATTGTTGTCCAGATGAACGTAGAGGTGTTTATAATCCTCCAACACCTCCATTTCTTCTCCCATGATGTTAACGGAATTCAATATCCCGTCCTATTGTTAGGACGTTGAAATGAAATGTTGAAAGGCAATGTAGAAATCACAATAGGTCATGAAGATGAGGAGGAAGACCAAATAGATGAAGAGGGGAGAGTTAGCCGGTGTTTGTGCAGCTGCTGCTAGAGGATGTTAAACAAGATGGAGAACTATACTACAAAACGCTCAGGTTTTTAACTGAGGCTGTTTACAGTTAGCATCGAGATCAAAACATTTTCTCAGGTATATTATATGTTACATCAGCTCATAAAAAACAACAATAAAACAATAGAGTTATAAGAACATTTAAATACACTCCTTTAAATGAAAATGAATTGAGCTGCTCCCAGCTGTAGAAAAACAACTTTTTATGATTGCTTTGGTTACACATCATAACAAATGTCTACAAATGAATGGAGCAACTTAAATTCCTTAAAAAAAAAACAAATATTCAAATCTACTTAGCAGAGCTACTACAATGTTTAGCCACCTCAAACAATGCAATTCTAGAATCGGAAAGAGAATTGCTCAATTATAAGAAAACTAAAATTTCATAAAAAGTCTTTAATTGAAGATGATTGTGGACAAGATATGTCCTCACAATCTGCTAGATTTGGATTGTGTTTTTGCGAAGGAAAGCACAAAACTGTGACCAAGTCAAGACTGTTTCCAAACTAAAGATTTAATGCTGTCAATATAAAGCCGATGCTTGCTGAGAACCTAACTGAAATGCAAACACAGGGGTTTTTCAGGGGGAACAGACATAAAATAAGGGAATTTAAGTTTTAATAATCTCTTATTGAAGCATTCCAATGTGGTGAATGGATGCACTGCGGTGTGTATAAAACTGGGTTTACATTAGGCATTTGTCCCCCCCCCCCCCCCCAGAAAATGTCCACAGGCGATTCCTGAGGTTGCTGGGCTGTAAGTGGAGAGGAAAGGAAGGAGCCTGTCCTGCTCAATATGAGCTGCTGGACCGGAGCTCTCACCTTATCCAGAATATGGGAAGACAAACCTCTTACACACATCATGGAAAACCGCATGGATCATTTTCAGTCACTAACAAATAAGATTAATGGGAGCTCTGCTGGGACGTACGCATATCTGTGGTGTCCAGAACACAACAGCCAAACCAGGCGGACCGCAGCGCAGCAGCTCTGGCACTGGCACGGTGAACCTCTAAATGACTGGTCCTGTCTGTCACTCAGCATGAAGGCATCGTCCACAGACTCCTGCAGGACGTGCAGCATCAACTGTTATTATTACTGCTAATTCATCCGAACCAGAAGTGTAATCTGTAGTGGGATATGGCGGATTTAAAACCATAAACTTGGAGCTAAAAACATGAGGGAATGCGCAGAGCAGAGGGGAAAATGTTCCTTAATTTATGATTTGGACAACAGATGGGACTGAGTCTGTAAACAAGGCTCTATAAATAACTGAAAAATGGTTGGTAAAAAAACCACCAAACAGGGAGTTTTTGGTCAATCAATTGGAGAAGCAACAAAAATCTTCAATGAGAAATATACAGAAAAGCAGCTCGGCAAATAACACCCAGGTGTCGCCTAAAAGCTCTGGACAGATAAGGACTGTGACAACGCCTTGTGAGATAAAGAGCGGCGTACTAACAGTAGCTTCTTGAGAATAATAACCACCTATTGAGGTGCTTCTGCGTCCATATCAAGGTAGCCAATCTCACGGCACAGACAGTGAAGGGTGTTGAATCCTGGGATGGAAGCTGTGGATGTTTCATTCAGATACCCACACAGATAATGTTCAAAGATCTGCAGGGAAAAAACACAAACTCTAACAATAGAGATGACTCACGAAAGGTTTTATTTACTCCATCTCTCTGAGAACCAAGCTTTCGCAGGAAGAGAAATGAAGATATGATCATCTTCTCATTCTGACAATATCCCTTCTGTTTTATCAGCTTTCTCTCTGCAGCGGTTCAGCGGTGTGCGTTCAAGACCTTAACATTCCTCTAGAGTTGGCTTCCATCTAAAGGCATCCCGATATAAGTTTACAGGAAGTCTGATTCATTTATTTTATTAAATCCCAAAGCTGGATAGAAATCATATAAAGGAGACAAATACAAAAAGAAAACGGGGGAAGCTGGGGTAAAAAAATCTCACCTGCATGATAGGCAACGGACCCTCGGCTCCACCCAGGGTGTCTGTTCTTGGGATAGTCCTGAATGAAAACAATAGAAAATGTCACCATAGAATTCTGCATTGTACGACGAAATCATAGCTATGCTCATTTGGCTCCTGCATTCTCTCTCGGACAAAATGGATTATACCAACCAGGCCTCCATAAATCTTATACCCACTTTGATAAACCAAATCAAAACAAAGCGTATTAAGAACAATTCAAAGGTTGTAATGTTAGTTAATTGATTTCTGTGGAGTAAATATCATGCAGTGTACATCTGAAAATGCTGCATCGTTGCCACCAAATTATATCGGTTAAAGAATGAAACAGTTTGGAGACGCTCAGTGGGGCTAGTCAAATACTATAATTTTATAAAATTTAAAGTGTAAATATTTGACAATGTTTTCTTTTTCTTTTAATAACACATTTATCTCAACACCTGCTAAAACCATTGCAAAATTTGCTAATATGAGTAAGTTAGCACAAGTCAGCTCCCTCATCGAAGCAAAAGAAGTTTCATCTCCTTTTCTTCATGCAACTTCAAATGTCAGACAGAGTTTCTAGTTGTTTCATCTCCATTTCAGATCTTTTATTCTTACATCTGAGTTTTAGTTTAGTTTGATTGAGTACTTTGATTTATGTACCCAAAAGAAATTACTATTTTTTATTGGGATAATTTGATTGGCCTGGCTGCAGGTCACAATTAACTACAATGTTGTCTGCGTTTATAAACACACGGTGAGTAAAACCAATTAATAGTGTGCACTTTTTAACAAATTTAGTTTTTTGGAAAAAAAAAGTGAAGTATTTTTAAGTAATTAGGTTCAAGTCCAATTCAAGTCCAGAGGAATTGTTGTAAAGGTCAAATTCAAGTCACAACCTTTTGAAAGTTTTTTTTCCAGGTCAAGTCTTAAGCCCTAAAAATGATTACTCAAGTCTGACTCGAGTCCAAGTCATGTAGCTTGAGCCCCCAACTCGTACGTGATTAGGCCTGTATAAAGATCTGCCTTATAAAGTCTAAGCATTTAGATTGCAGGACACAGTACTACTTGGCATTTTCTAGTAAACAGAAACGTTCGTTAACAAATCTTTGTGAAGTCTTAACTGTAAACTACTAATCTAAATAGTAACAGGGTACTTTAAATAATTTTAGTCTAAGATTTTGCAGGATTGAACAGATTATTTTTTTTTACCACAACCTTTAATAAAGGCAAACTTTAAGTAGTTTTTCAGTAAAGTTTGGTTCAGTAGCTGCACAGGTACTGAAGATCCACAAAAGAGTAGGATCATTGAACCAAGAAATAGTTTAATTAATTTCAAAATAGGTGAATATAAGCTATACTTCATTTTAAATAAACATGTAATTTATAATTCTATAAATCAAAGAAAAGGAAAAGAAAAAAAACCAATGAGGACTCTTATAACATGTTTGTGTCACTTCAGCACAGTAGTCAGCAAGATTTAAACCCTAATGGCTTTTGTTGACCTCGGCCCAGTTTGACAAAACTTGTAAATATCCAAATAATGTATGTGAAAAAACTGGTTATTTTATAATTAATTGATACCATACGACATTTGCTTCAAAATGTACAAAAGTATGATATTTTTTGTTATTTTAGGGTTTAAAAAAGAATATCCAAAATGAACATAAATGAAATCAATACATTTTCTTTATTGGATTCAAGTTTTTTAATTCAATATGGGGTCAAAAAGGCACGCTGCATGCAACCAAAAGAGAAACGAAGCAAAAATTTGTAACTCAATTAGGGTCATTTTTGCAGAAAAGCTATGTACTCCTTGCACAAAAAAAAAACAGGACTTAGAAAAACAAAAAGAGCAGCTCCATTATCCGGTGTCTCTCAGCTCCAGCACAGCTGATTCAGTTCCCCAGCATGTGATCTATAATCAATTGCCAATGATCCATGTGATTCAAGTGTGTTAAACATCTTAAACTGGTGGAAAATCAGCCATTGAGACCTGCAATTAGAAACCACTAATACCCTTTACTTATGTATTCCATATAATTAGTTTTTTTCCTGCTGCAACTCTCAATGAAATGGACAAGATTGTTTTCCTCTATCTCCTTTGGCAAACATGCTCAGGATGTCTTCTTATTCTGCACTAACAGAAACAATCATTGAGCCCACTTACAGATGATATCATAGGATGACTCAGGTAATTAGCAGCAATTTATACCTGCTTTCTGGGCTGCACCTTTATTATTGCAAAAACACACCATTAAAGAAAAGATTATCAGAGAAAAGACTTGTTGTTTCAGTCTTCCATCTTTTATAAAGGCTTGCTTATTTCTTTCCATCCTCTCTTGCTGTAAACTCCTCTATTGCACTCAACTTTATAAATATTGACAAGCACAGGAGTGGCAGAAAAAAAACTTTAATTTCTGTAATCTGCCAAGTCAGACACAGGACGACCAAAAGGAAAAAAAATGATCAGCCAAACATCAACTGACAACAGCTGCAGAGAGAAAAGGAGATGCATTGGGCAAATTTCTCAAAGCAGCAAGGGCAGGTGAAATTATTATCATTAGCACCTGTGTATAGATGGAAAATAAACAAAAAGGGAAACCACAGCCAAATGACAAATGCTACAATTAGAGCCGCCAACATTAAGTGGAAACATCATGCATCTTGACTGACAAGCGGGCTGTAAATCAGTTAACAGGAAATGAAAAAGCATGGAGATATAGAAAGAGAGGACAGAGTAAGACATCAGTAGACAAAGACAGGGAGACATGAAGGAATGCAGATGCAGATCCAACCCTGGAAACCCTTTATCCACCAAGTCTCCTCGGTCTCAACCACAAGCCTGAGGATTCCTCCAGCTGACTGGGATGTGGGCTGCATCTCCATAAGGAGAAGAGGAACGTCTCAATGTTTATATCCTGATTGAGAGTCTGATATAATCTGTTATTTGGAGAAAAGGCTCTAGAAAAAAAGAAGAAAAAAAACATAATAATGACTCCGATAATGAGTCAGTTTAGACCACAGAACTAAATCTGCCATTAAATGTCTGTCTTGAGCGTGAACCTTGTAGGAACTGTTGTGTCCATAACTTACCATCTTGATGTGCTTTTTCTATTAAATAAAAACTCTCTATACGTGCAAAACTATATAATCAAACTCACTGATAATATTTATATCCAGTCGAAAGTATTTTCAGAGATTCAGAGTTGAGTCTTTAAGGACTGAATGAAACAAATACACAACCTCCAGGCCCTCTCTAACTCTACTTTCACCATTATACTTAAGCTGTTTAATATTCATTAACAGTTATCTTTTACTCATTAAACATTAATCTCACCTTCAAAGGAAACTGCTAAAGGTTAATTTATAAGAAGAAATGCATCTTAACAGCGTCCAGAAGTCCAAACATGGAACAATTGTTTTCTTAAGTAAAATACAGATGTGCATTAAATTTGAAATGCGTGGACAGTTAAAAAAAAAAAGGTTGACTTTGAATATAGTGCACTGCTTTCTGCACAAAAAATATGCTATAAAAAACATTAGAATTCAAACTTATCTCCGATCAGTTTTTGAGTTTTTGTGACATATTTCCCAGAGGGCGCAAAAAAAAGAAGAACAGGCTGATGTGGAGCTAAGCCATAGATGATATTTTGAGTATCATTATGTAAACTGAGTTGGTGTGTAGATGATGTTTTAAATATAAGAAAATAAACTAATAGTTATTTTAAATTTTTATGCTTCAGAGATGAACAGAAAGTAACTATTCCGCTGTTTTGTTAGTATATATTTCTGAACTCTTACTTCCTATTATTGTCTCCCTGTTAAAACCAGTATATCATTTAAAGTTCTCTTTCTCATAAAGCTCTAAATAATTGGGTTCCATCATATGCAAGGGATGTAATTGTTCTTTCCTGACGTTCCTAACAGAGCACTGTGTTCCCAAACTACAGGTTTACTCGTGGTTCACAAGAAATTCAGAAAGAAGAATGAGAGGCAGTTTTAGTCCAAGTGGCAGATGCCATGTCTACCTTTAAAGTCGTAGGGAAGTCATGAATGTCTAATCATTCTGGTTTAAATACGTATATAAATGTACTCTTTATTAGACTATATTGTTCCAAAATGTTTAAAATTTCAATTTTAAAGAAAATCCTTTCTTAAAGTCTGTGGGGTGTTTTTTTTGTTATCTTATGCAGGCCAGTCAGTTATACGTCATCTCTTACACCTACATTCGGCCAACCATATATCAATGGTCATCTGTCAATCAAATGGTTTCGGTTACAGCATATGTAGCAGCTAATATACGCACCGGTTGAAATAAGAAATAAGAATCATTTACTTTAAAATTGAGTTCCATCCCAGTGTTCACGGGGATGGACGTCTGTGTCTTCGGCAGGTGTAGAGCTAACAGAACTGGCAGCGTTGCGAGGCAAGGGCTCAAACATGTACGACTGTAAGCCTTCTACACCAAACCAAGCTTCTGCCGCCCTGGCTCCTCTTCAACAACAACTTCGTCCCCGCTTTCCTCCTCTAAGAAAAAAATTTATAATGGAGGAGACTCATCCACGACCTCCGACACAAAACTCTCCTCCTCTTGCATGTTTCCGCTGTCCATAGGGTTCCTTGACAGTGTTGTTTCTAAGTCACCAATTTAGTGCTACTTGGTCCCGATGGAATTTCCCATTGGGAACCTACTAGCATTAAAGGAATAGTACACCCAAAACATGATTAGCCTTCATTTTCTACTCACCCCCATGCTGAACAACACTCTGGAGTACTTTTTTGATATCTCAAATGCATCTGGAGATCTGGGAGGCTTCTTGCTGTCTGCTGACATTCAAATAATGGAGGTCTATGGTGACCGAGACAGAAAGGTCCATAAAAGTCCACAAAAAACGTGTCAATATTCCTCCATACTGCTCGTTCACGAGACTACGGAAACCGTGGCAGACCAAACCAGACGAAAGTGCGCATTCAGCTCGGCATAGAACTCATGCTCTTCCTCAACACTGAAGTCCTCAGACATTTTTCTTTTGTTGTTTCTTTCTTTGCACAGAT